CCCCGCGTCCTGTGCCCGAGTCCAGCGGGGCACACCACCGGGCGCGGCGCTGCTTAACCCTCCCGCCGCGAAGCTGCCCGAGCTGCTGCCAGCCTCTGCGCTTGCACATCCCAAACTTAATACTGTAAAAATGACTGCTTTGCCACTGGGAGTTAAGGCAAGGTCCTGCCTGGGTTTGCATCAACCCCCCCTTGGTCTTTGCAGTGGTTTTAAAGCGCTCCGTGTGCTTTTGGGCAGGCAGGGAGCTTTTATTTTATTTTTTTTTCTCTGGGAGGACCAGGAAGCTGTAGAAGATGGCGCGGCGCGAGCTGCAGGGCGCTGCTTCTGCAGCAGTCCTTTTGCTTCCCAACAGCTTCGTTTAAACCGTGGGGGTTTTTTTTTCCTAACAGGTGAAAGAATTCGATTCGATATCGCGGTTGGATCAGTGGCTTACGACCATGTTGCTCCGCATCAAAAAGTCAATCCAAGGAGAAGGGGACGGCGACCTGAAGTGAAGCGTCCCTGGCGCCTGTGGCATGCAGCCGGAGTAACCTGGGCCTGCGTCGCAGCCAAGGACCGCTGTGGGATACGTGATAAGCCACCTAGCTTTGTTTTGTCGCTTCCACCTCAATGACGTGTGTGTTCCTTTAGCCTCCTGCTCTTTGTCGTGACAGCGTGGCGGGGGGGAGAAGCGATGCCCTGGGTCTCCCCGGCAGCCCCCCTGGCAGAGGCCCCCCCTCGGGTTTGTTAGCTGTGAGCCCAGCGGCTGCTCTCGCAACTGTCGTTATTTTTCTCCTGCTGTTCTGTCTTAAGGCTCAGTCTCGGTGATTCCAGCATGTAAATACTTTGTCCACGCCGGCGCGGTCCCAATAATGGCTTCCAAGCTCGTGCTGTGTTGTTGCCGTTGTCTGTTTCTACACGGACCCCTCCTCTGTCGGATACACTCGGACCTTGTGCTTTTGTTGGTTTGTTTTTCTAAATGATTGAGCTTTTTTAACGGTAAGGCTGTGTGGGTCCCATATAGAGTACGCACGTGCGCGTATACGTCCTGTACAGACACCTGTGTGCACGTGCGGCACGCGTGCCGACCTGGCGCTGAAAGCAGCAGCGGCGAGGGGCCAGGGCGGCGTCAGCCCTCGGGACAGGCGGCGCGAGCAGACCTCGCTCCTGCTGTGTTTTGTATTTCAGATCTAAATATAAAACGTAAGGGTCTTCTCTATTTTCTTGGATCTATTTTTCCACTCACTTTATTTTGTGGCGCGTCCCAGCCCTCCTACCCCACGAGTTCTTGAGGTGTTGGCGGAGACGCGCTGGCACGTGGAGGCGGTGGTTGAGGGGCCTGGGCGCCGGCTGAAGCCAGCTCGCTCTGATAAGGTGTAGACAGGCTTAAGAATTCCCGCGGTCATTTCGGAAACGTGTTTTATGACGTCTGCGACCAAGGCCCTTCCGTGTGCTGCTGCCTTTAACCTGGCGCTGATCGGGCTGCCTGTTTTTCCCCGGGCAGGCGTTAAGGAGGGCTCGGGAGCCTACGCGGTTTGCCCGCCAGAGTCATCGGGCGGTATTTCTCTGTAGCGAAGGGATTTCCAGCTGCGCTGTCGCCACATAAAGAATTGCAAAATTAATCGCTTTATTTGGCACAGGTGCTGTTTCGGTGGGCCAGGGTGGGCAGCTTCGGTGGGTGCTGCCACCCAGTGTGGGCTCTGCCCCTCCTCTCTCTCCAGGAAGCGATCGCCTCCGCTTGTGTTCTGGCAGCCCCAACGCTGCCTTTTGCATTCTCTTTGGTTCCCTTTCAATCCAGACCTTCATCTGAGTAGAACAGCTTGGCTTGCTGGTCTAAGGGGTTTGGGTCTACTGAAGTGGGGCTTTACCACTGACTTACAGAAAAGAAAACCAAAAAACCCGCTCCTGGTAGATGCCAAATTATTTCCATTTCTTTGTTTTCCTGACTGGTCTCACTGGGCGCTCGTTCTCTGTGGGCGGTTCTGAGCATCCTCGCCTGACAGGGAAGACCCCGGAGCTGTGCAGAACTGGCACGGTGGGCGCGGTACAAAAGCCCGGGTGGACAAAAGATTTTTGCCCCGGATGGGCAGATTTCTTGGCAAAGAAACACGTTACGGTCCCGGGCTGCCTCCGCCCAAGGCGGGTTCGCACCCCAGCTCGCTGGGGACAAGGACCCGCTGGCATTTTCCGAGGGCGTCCCGGCGCGGTCCCGGCGTCCCTCGCCAGCGCTGGCGGGGCAGGGCGGCACTGGAGCCGGGTTCGCTGCAGCTCTGCTCGCGTTCCGGGGAGGGCCCGAGGGCGCAGCTGCTGCCGAACCCCCCTGTGCGCAGAGGATGGGGCTGGAAGCGTTTGTTTTAACCAACCCGTTCCCTGAGCGAGCAAAGCCCCACGGTGCCGGGGGGTTGGTCTCGGCTTGTATCCAGCACCTCCGGAGCCTTGGCGAGGGGCGCTGAGGCCCTAGCGTGGCGCAGAACCGCGGCGGGTGGTTCATGCCTTTGCTTGTTGTCAGCGTCGTTCGCTTTTCCAGTCGCCAGCACTGGGCACGGCTGCGGTAAGGTGCGGGCGGAGCAGGAGCCCGAACCCCTGGGGTTGCATGGTCCGGCGCCGCGCCCGGGGGTAACAGCATCAAAATCCTGACGTTAGCTGTGTGTCCGTAGGCTGCAGCATGTCCTCCGGCGTATCCGTGGTAAATGGTGACCGTTTTAAAATGACAAATCTGCCACGCTGCTGTGTCTCCCCCCGTACACAACTCTGTACTCCGAAGATGTATTCATGACATGGCCTTAGCGAGAATATCCTGTTGTGTGTGAGTCTGTACGTTAATAAAGGCAAAACCATCGGTGTAAGCAGTGGTGAACGTTCTTCCCTGCAAAACGCCCGGCCTGAAGCCGGAGGGTGCGGTGGTGAAAGCCAGGGCGTGCAGCTGGCTGGTGGCCTTTGGGTACGGCCCAAGGGGGAGCACCCGCACAGGAGAGCGCTGGCTGAGGCGTCCCAGCCCCCGCTGCCCTGCCTGCGGCACAGCGCGTCACCCGCAGGAGACGGGAACGCCCCGAAGCGGCACATTTCCTATTTTTTCCGGCGTGTTTCCCAACGCCCAGCTGAAGGTAAGCTCCGAGCGTCCGCTCCTGCCAGGGGGGAAGGGAAGGCCTGGCCCGGGCTTCTGCAGCGCTGTCCCGGCCCTCGCTGGCGGCGGGGCCTGAGGGAGAGGGGTGGCACCCGGCACTCCAGGCCCGCAGAGGAGCCAAGTGAGGACTTACCCCAGTCTTAGCGCGTTACGTGGAGGGTATCGGAGCGTCCGTAGGGTCATGGAGTCACTGGGAGGGGCAGGCGTAAGATTTCAGTATTTTATTAGGAACATTTCATACGAGTAACTCCCTTCCGTACATTCCTGGAGTACAAAAGTTTCCCTGGCTACAGGTACTAATGTGCAGACCTTAAATATATCTACAAACGCGTTACATTGGTCGTGGGGAACACTGAGCTGCAACAGGAACGTCGCGCTTGAATAAATATTTCAAATATAACCTCTTGGAAATGTTCTCTTTAAAAAAATTCCCTTTCTATAGATTAAGTTCTGATTCCATGGTAACACATCAGGCATCCCTTTAAGGTTCAAAAATAGCTCTGTGCCATGCTCTGGGTATCTTTATTGCTTTGCCAACCCCTAAGCCTCAGAACGGGCCCTAACGAGGCTCGATTGATTGTGCTTACCTTTACGCTAACATCAGAAGAGTTTTTCTCACAGCTTCGGCTGAGAAAGCTCCTGTGGAAATACTACATTAACATCGGAATGGAGAGGCACAGAAAAGCAACAGCAAAATGAATTGGAAAAGCTCCGGAGTTCTGCATGGTGGCACTGGGAATCTGGGCCTGAGGTTGAAGCCGTAACCATACACAGCTGCTCCCAAACCCCAGCGTTGGCCCCATCCGCTGTTCCTTTGTCAGGGCCAACCCTTCCAAAGGTTCCACCCCAAATCCTCCCAAGCGCTGCGGGGAGGTCAACGCGAGCCCGTGACTTTCTCCTTCCAGTTCAGCTTTGGCGTTAGCAAAGGTGCCTGAGCTTCAGGAAACGCTTACCCCGGGCAGAAGCTCAGCCGGGCTTCCCGGCCGCTGGAGGCGAGCGGGGAGGAGACGGGGCGGTGAGCGATGCTGAGGGAGGAGCTGCCCGTCTTGGTAAGCAAGACCCAAAGCAACACACGGGTCTGCTGGCGACCGGTGGGGGGGGGAGCAGGCTGTGTCGAGGGGCGGGGGTGAAGGGGAGTCGCACTCCGGCCCCTTCGGCCTCACATTTCCTAATTTCAAACAAACAAACGGCGCGTCATGCCACTGAAATTTAGCAGCGGCTGCCAATCAGGAAAATCCTTTGAACTCTTAAGTTTGCGCGTTGCGTATTTTGTAAGGCCCGGCTCTTACCCTGCTGGGGACAGCTAAACAGGCGCCAGCCTCAAACTGCCGCTGGGATTCCAGCATAGGCTTACGGACAAAGGATTCACAACCTGGGAAGCAAAGGCCCACATCCCTTGAGCAGTCCAGTGCGTTTTTCACTTATTTGCACGTTTCTACACCATTAGTCTTACGCAGCCTGCCTGCCTCCTGTCGGTACCCGGATTTACCTCTGGAGACTCTCGCCCTACTGCTGGAATGAGCTGTAGCAGCTCGACAGCAAAGCGGTAATTAGCTTCTCCCACCAGAGTATCACTGAATTTAAAAGCGGCTGTGCAGTTCCGAGCGACAGCCACCTTCAAGTGACGGTGGAGAACGGCATCGCTGGCCCACCTGGAGCGGCAGGAAGCAGCTCAAATGCAAGCTAACAGGAAAACAGCCATCAGCTGTGTTTCCACCCTAGCTGAAGTACGGCTTTTCATAGATGTTTTTACAAGAGATGTTTTGGTCTCTTAATTGCCAAGTTATCCGTAAGCAGGGGCAGCTAGAAGGTGAAGACTGCCTGAATGCCAAGCGTCACTGAAACATAAAGACCACCACTGCTGCCTGTACGGGCACGGCGCTCGGCTCCCACTCACCCGCTTCGCCACTAGGGAAGCAAAGCCCCTGGAAAGAAACCCCCTGCATCGTTCCGCAGCCTGCTCACCTGCCCTGGCTCACCGCTTGGATCTTTGGCAAAAGCGGAGATAAACCAACCCTTCCCGAAAAGCACTTTAGGGACACTGACCTGATGTGTGACTGGAATTCCCCCAGGGGAAGCGCAGGTCACGTCACTAAGCTCCTAGGCTGAGAAACACAACATCCTTCCTCTTGATGGTACGCGTGCCAGCGAATCAGCCGGCGCTCACCCTCGCACCTTCTTTACAACCCACCCCAACAGAGGCGCTCGCTGCAGGCCCGCCAGAGCGACCAAGCTGCACTACACCCTTTGACTCGTAGGGAATAAACTTCCTGGGACCTCTGCCTCCTCCTCCACCACCCTGCAGACAGAGCTGAACACTTTGGAGGTGGGGAACAAATTTTTTTTGAGGAAATTCTGGCAGTCCAGCGCAGGTCTTTCACCTCTAGCCCTGCTTCCCTGTGACAGCTTCCCCCCTAGGTCCCTCCCTCAGTAGGGTATTGGCAAAGTCAAAGGAGCGCACAAAGGGCGCAGCTTAAACTGGGTTTGTACAGACCAAGCTATTCCATGTTCACCAGAGCGTGGAGCTGCGGCTGCATGGAGTCTGTCTGTGTGTGCAGCACCGTCAGCTCACTTAAGGTGGTAGCTATAAGGGCTTCCTGGGGTCCCGGAGTCCCGTCGGACTTACAGTCTGTTCCCGGGGCAGAACCGTTGTCATGCAGCGCAGTCACGCTCCCCGGGACAGCAGTCAGGTTTTGATAGTGGCTGTTTTCAGAGAAAGACAGCAGCTTTTCTGGTATTTTAGGTGACGCATCGTATTCTTTGTCGGGAAGTTCTGTTTTGTGACCTTCATCATTCTTGGATGCTCCTTCAACAATGACAAGGAAGGACTTCCAGGGCGTGTTTTTATCGTGTATCTGAAAGAAAAACCCAACCCAAAACCAGATGGTTGAGCACACGATGACTGTCTGAGAGGCAAAAGCTTGGGCCCAGCTCATACCCGCCTCCCGTAGAAAAGGTCTCTCTCTTCATCCCACATAACTATCCCAAAGGTAGGTCAGTACACATCCACACGCAGATCTGTGTCCCCGGTGAGCCCCCCATTTTCCTAAAGCATCTAACCAGGCCAGCAGAGAGCCTGGCCCAGGCTGTGAATTGTCCCGGCATTGCCCCTGTGTGGGGAACACGCTCAGAGGAACAAACCTGGGACCAAACA